CTATTTTTGACATTTCAGGAACACAGTGATGACAAATGCAGTAATTTATTCATAAAAGGGAGAAGAGAGGTACCAGAGCATTCTGTGTAATTTTTCAGTGCAGTACCCTGAAAAGAAAGGTTTCAAACAAGATGACAGAGGTAACATATAAATAAAATTTTTTCACTGCATACCATTTGATTTTTGAATGCAAAAATGTTTAATGGACATTAAAAAAAAAAAGAAAGCAAATAATCCCCCAAATCAAAGCACATCTAGATTAAAGTTAATATTCATTATAAGAGAATATTCTCTTGATGCTCGTAGGCACAGACAGAGTACCAAAGGAAAAGAAAACCGTTGGTGGCACTTACCAGATTCCAGGCAGGAAGCCCTCCTTTCAAAGGACAGAGACAGAGAAGCCAGTCTAGCTGCTGATGGTTGGTCTGTTTCCCCTAACAACGGCCACAGTGAAGAGAAAGCCTGGTCCCTGCCAGCTCCCCGCCAGGTAACAACAGCTTGGAGCAGGAGGCGCCTGTGCTCCAGGGAGGCGCGGCAAGGGGAGGGCTCTGCGGCGGTGGCCGCCCAGGTAGGGCCTTGCACTGCCGCCCACAGCCCCGGCACCCTGGAGCTGTGCGCAAGGCTGCCTGGGCTGCAAGCTGAGGCTGATGCCTGTCTCACGAACCGGCAGCAAACTCCAACGTGGGGAAGAAAGAAGCAGCTCCTGAGGCAGCTGAGCCAATGACTACAGGAGGAACTTGCAGATTCAGCCTCACCACCCTGCCCCCGCAGCCAAAGGACATGATCAAAGTTAACAGCTGCTTAGAGTAAGCAGTGTGCACACCTGGCCTGCCCAAGGTGGCCCTGAGACCTTGGGGATCCCGAAGGCACACGGAATGCCCCTTTTAGAAAATACGTGGCATTTTTCCCTAAATGTTCATGCCAATGTTAAAAGAAAATATTCAAGGAAGTAAGGAAATCCCTTTGGATATTTTTGTTTAAATAATTGCTCCATTGTCCTCATATATATGGAATGAGCCTATATTTCCATCAGCCAAAACTAGCTTTGGATCCTGTCTCTACCAACTTACTAGTTTGGTGACACTGAGCAGGTTTCCTGACCTATCCATCGTCAGCATCCCCATCTGTAGAAACAGAGCTTTGAAACCTCCTTCAACGACCACTGTGAGGAATCAATGGATCACGGGTGTCCTGGAGACCAGCAGTCCAACAATCAGTGTGCCTTTGCCCTTCTACATTTACTTACCCTTCAGTAGCTTGTGGCTCTTTCAAGTTCACATGTTTTCCTAAATCAACCACGGTCACCCCTTTCACCTTCCCTCAGTTTAAAAATTGATACATGGGCTGGCCGGTTAGCTCAGCTGGTTAGAGTGCAGTGTTGGTATATAACAAGGTTAAGGGTTTGGATCCCGATACAGGCCAGCCCACCAAAAATTAAAATACATGGTTACTCAAAATCTGATCCAATTCATATCCACAGCAAAAGATGTTTCTCCTACTCTTTTTTTTTTTTAAAAAAAAAAAAAAACAATGTCTCCAATAGGTTAGGGAGATCAATTTTAAAATCATTTTTGCACACAACAGTCAAAGAGAGAGATCCCATGATCCCTCAGCCCAAACTCCACCAGGGACACCTGGTGCAGTGCAAGGTACAGAAGTCTTCCTTCCAGAGTTCCCTGTAAATTCCCATTTCAAGGCCAAGAACATACCCAGTTTTAAGAGCCCAGGGTATTGAGAAAAAGAACAGGGTCTTAATTGAGTCAGTCTTTTTCTTTAATGCTTACTCTTAAAAGGCAATTATTTTTTATGATGAGAATTCACAGCTTACATATAATACCATTCTTTAATAAGAATGACAAGGGCTACCCATTCAACACCATGTTTGTAAAGCAACCTTCCAAGGGAGGTAGAGGCCCGGAGTTCTCCCTGGGCCGAGAAGCCACCATCACCATCTGGTGGTGGCCCTTGCATATTGCAGTCATAAACCCTACACCACCTTCAATCCATTCTCCAAGAGGCAGCCCACCGGAATTCCTGCTCTGTAATACACTTTCTCTGTAATTAACTCTCTGACAGCTAGTTTGGTTGCTCAAGGACAACCTTTGTTCTTTCCCACCAGATCTTTCCAACCGACTTGTTGATCAGGCCACTAAACACATAGGGGAGGGTAAAAGCTCTGTTTCCCCACCCAACACCTGGCGACATGATTACAAAGAATGAAACCGCCAACACACATGGAGAAAAGAGAAGCAAAGAGCCAGTATGTTCACAAAATGTAACAGCCAAGAGCCAAAGTCAGTGAAAAATATGAAGCAGGCATCTCCACCAAGGGAACTGAAGAGACCAGCTGAAGACCCAGGAAGTATCAGAGCAGAGACAGCCTTTGAGCTGGGTCCTGACCAGTGAACAAGACTCGGTAGGTTCAGGTAAGTTATGCAGCTGGAGTAGAGAATGTGCTGGAAATCAGATCAGAAATAATGAGCTACCAGTCAGGGAGCACTTGGAAAAATGTCCCTTAGCTGCTTCACTCCTCCCAAGCCTTCATCCACCTCTGTGACTGTAATAGGTCCAAGCAGGAGCTCAAAAACAGATACCAACCTTAAGGAAAAATTACCAGAGGAAGTAAAGGCCATGGAAAAAGAAAAAATTAGAAATTCATATTTAAGTGGTATCATTGAGATACTGTCTTAATACTAGTGATTTCTAAGAAAGTACTGGGAGGCAGACAATAAATAAGGGTTTTACAGGCAGCTGTAAAAAGGCCTGGTGACCAACCGAACCATAGCTGGGCTGGCCACTCTTTCTACTCATAGAAGCAGCATCTGTTTGCAGTATAACAGAAGAGAAGATGCCTCTTTTAGGTACAAAGGAAGATAGGAACTATCAGAACTTTACGTTACATAACAGGTCCTGTCTTTCACCCATATTACCCCAGTATATTACCTACAACACTGTAAAATTAAGTATGAATGACATTTAGTTTAATTTTATGCTAGAATAATTCAAGAGGTAAATTTTAGTATCTTCCACCTTTCAATCTGGCATACCCTCTCATACATAAAATACAGTCCACACATCTGACTTCACACACACCCATACCCTGGCCTTGTGCTTTTCTTAGCCACTCAATTTAAAAACCTTTGCAACCTCTGCACACACCCAAGGCACACAGACTGTTGTGTTGTGTTGGTACACGACAATATCCAACTTGGATACTGATTGTTTAAAACAATCAGAAATAAAGGCAGCAGGCAGAAAAACAACTCTATGTATTAAAGGATGCTTTGTGTTTTTACATCTGGAAATCTACAGCCCATGTTCAAGGGCCAGGCTCTCAAATTCATCAAATTAGCAAGTGATAAATTCCTGGAGGTGCAGAACTCTGTGTTCTCCATCTCCCAGAACTGTGCCTTTCAACACGAATAGATGATTGCTGGACTTCACTGAAAGACAGAAACAAGCACCTGTGGGCTGCATTCCCACCAACTAACCCAGCAGAAAGCACCGATGCTTGGGTTCAGTGAGGTAGGAAGAAAAGGAGTAGATAATGAAAAGCATGTTAAGGCAGCCTAGTTAAAAAACGTTGAGGTGAGTGTTAAACTGCCAAAGGGCTAACATGAATCACAAAACTGGGTTAAGCCAGGAATCAGGAGACCTGGGTACTGATCCTAATAATGCCCTTCACTACGTCCTTTGCTTGACTTAAGACAATTTAACATCTGTAACCTTTCTGAAATCAGCAAGCCTATCATAAGAAAGTCAGAAGGAACTCCCCTACCACTTTCTCCTTTTGCTGTTAGGTCAAAGATGTACCTTACACGCAGTCAACAGTGCCTGAGAATCAAGAAATCATTTGTAATCTTGAGCAATGCATTTAATCTCTTGGTTTCACCATGCCCATATGTTAAAGTGACAGCTCCTTGTCCTGTAATTTTATGATCCAAGCTCACATATTTAGGAACCAAAGCTTATAAAGCTAACTCAAATGCTCTCATTCAGCAAGTATTTACCAAGCTCCTACCATGTACCAACCACTGTGTGAGCACTGGGGTTTCCCCCGTGAAAGACCTTGTCAGAGCCTGCCTCTCATTGCTCATCTGGGTCTGACTTTTCTGAAGTCTTCAATGCCTGTCATCTGTGCATACAGTTTAGCGCTTTGGTTACATACCTCGTTCTAGCTTAATGTGATTGTTTTGTAAAGTGCCGATCTTACCAATAAAATTTTAAGCTGTTCAGTGTAAGGCCAATGTTTTCCTTAGTAGTTTACCAATTATATCAAGGCTAGCCTTCAGACAACTTCAGTCCAGGGAACTTATCTGCAAAACCCAAATAAATACCAACAGCTTCTGAATTCTGCAATAGCATCCACCAAAGCTAAGCCTTGAGTTCGGAGTTTCACTAATTACTTGTTTTAGTCCGTTTTGTGTTGCTATAACAAAAATACCTGAGACTGGGTAATTTATAAAGAACAGAGGTTTATTTGGCTTATGATTCTGGGACAGTGGCATCTGGCATGGGCCTCAGGCTGCTTCTACTCATGGCGGAAAGTGGCAGGCAGCCAGCAGATACAAGCAGATCACATGGTTAGAGGAAGAAAGAGAGAGCGAGAGAGAGGAGGTGCCAGGGTCATTTTAAGCAACGAGCTCTCGAGAGAGAGAGAAGGTGCCAGCATCCTTTAAACAATCAGCTCTCACAGGAACTAATAGAGCGAGAACTCACTCACTACCCCCCCTCTCAGGGAGAGCATTAATCCATTCATGAGGGATCCACCCCCATGACTCAATCAGTTTCCAACACTGCCACATTGGAGATCAAACTCCCACATAAGTTTTGGAGGGACAACACATCCAAACTCCATCATTGACTGTAACCCAATTCTGTACAAGCTTCATTATTTAGCTTCCAATTACAAAGATTAGGCTTCTGATCTGCAAAAAAGAGTGCCATATAGCATTATCATCTCTCCTATAGAAACCAAACACATGGGGGGAGGGGGGCTATGCACTGATACAAATGGCAAATACAAATTTCCAGCCATTATAATTATCAATAGTTCATTCAGAAATCAGTTTGTCATTATAAACTCTTTTTATCACTGTTATATCTTCTACTTGAAGATAGAAGATGGATTTAAATAATGGGGGTAAAAAAAAGTCAACTGAAGTATAAATCACATTCTCATTCAAATAAAAAGGTAGCTTTATTTTCTAAAACCAAAATAAACCTTTCCAGTTACTATAAAAGCAATATAGACTCTTCCCAGGAAAACTGTACACACACACACACACACACACACACACACGCACACGCACACACACACACACACTTAGTCAGACAAAAAGAAAATAAACACCATGAACCTGCTTCTCTGAGGTTATACTACTAACACAGTAGCACATTAATACCCTTTCAGATCTTCTCTATTTCTTACAAAAAGATGGGATCAAATTATACAAACCAATCTGCAACTTATTTTTTCATCCTATGTTACAAATGTTTCTGTATCAATAAATATTTATC